AATGGAGCAAGTAATTAAGGAAATCATCTGTAAACACTTGGAAGGTGGCAAGGTGATAGGGAACAGCCAGCATGGATTTGTAAAGAATAAATCATGTCAAACCAATCTGATAGCTTTCTGTGATAGGATAACGAGTCTTGTGCATATGGGAGAAGCGGTGGATGTGGTATACCTAGACTTTAGTAAGGCGTTTGATACGGTCTCGCATGGTATTCTTATCAATAAACTAGGCAAATACAACTTAGATGGGGCTACTATAAGGTGGGTGCATAACTGGCTGGATAACAGTTCTCAGAGAGTAGTTATTAATGGTTCACAATACTGCTGGAAAGGTATAACAAGTGGGGTTCTGCAGGGGTCTGTTTTGGGACTGGCTCTGTTCAATATCTTCATCAACGATTTAGATATTGGCATAGACAGTACGCTTATTAAGTCTGCAGATGATACCAAGCTGGGAGGGGTTGCAACTGCTTTTGGGGATAGGTTCATAATTCAAAATGATCTGGACAAATTGGAGAAAAGGTCTGAGGTAAACAGTATGAATTTTAATAAGGACAAATGCAAAGTTATCCACTTAGGAAGGAAGAATAAGTTTCACACATACAGAATGGGAAGCGACTGTCTAGAAAGGAGTACGGCAGAAAGGGATTTAGGAGTTATAGTGGACCACAAGCTAAATATGAGTCAACAGTGTGATGCTGTTGCAAAAAAAGCAAACATGATTCTGGGATGCATTAACAGGTGTGTTGTGAGCAAGACACGAGAAGTCATTCTTCCGCTCTACTCTGCGCTGGTTAGGCCTCAGTTGGAGTATTGTGTCCAGTTCTGGGCACCGCATTTCAAGAAAGATGTGGAGAAATTGGAGAGGGTCCAGAGAAGAGCAACAAGAATGATTAAAGGTCTAGAGAACATGACCTATGAAGGAAGCCTGAAAGAATTGTGTTTGTTTAGTTTAGAAAAGAGAAGATTGAGGGGGGACATGATAGCAGTTTTCAGGTATCTAAAAGGTATGTCTACACTACAAAGTTAATTAGAAGTAACAGAAGTTATTTCGAATTAACTTTAATAGAGTCTACATAGGCAAACTGTTATTTCAAAATAAGTCTGAAAGAATTGGGTGTGTTTAGTTTAGAAAAGAGAAGATTGAGGGGGGATATGAAAGCAGTTTTCAGGTATCTGAAAGGGTGTCATAATGAGGGGGGAGAAAACTTTTTATTCATCTTGGCCTCTGAGGATAGAACAAGAAGCAATTGGCTTAAACTGCAGCAAGGGAGGTTTAGGTTGGATATTAGGAAAAAGTTCCTAACTGTCAGGGTGATCAAACACTGGAATTAATTGCCCAGGGAGGTGGTAGAATCTCCATCTCTACAGATATTTAAGAGTAGGTTAGATAAATGTCTGGGATTGTCTAGTCAATACTTGGTCCTGCCATGAGGGCAGGGGAAAGGACTCGATGACCTCTCGAGGTCCCTTCCAGTCCTAGTGTTCTATGATTCTATGATTCTATTTCCAAAGGAGATATTGATCTTATATTCTATTAGGGTGATTTTAGCTCTTTAATATGAAATGACTGATTTTAGTTTCTGTTAGGGTATGTCTACACTTGCACCCTACTTCGAGCCAGGGATGCAAATGCAGGCAATCGAAATAGTCAATGAAGCAGGGATATAAATATCCCATGCTTCATTAGCATGATCTCGCAGGCATGTTACTCCAAATGTCAGCTGTTTCAAATGGGACATGTTAGTTCGAACCAAAGCCCTTGGTTCAAACAAACGTTACTCTTCAAAAAATTATTTGATTTTCCTCCCACTTATACTGATGTAAATCAAGAGTAACTCCACTGCAGCCAATGGAGTTATACCAATGTAAACAAAAAGAAGGGAGTGGAGAATCAGACCCAATGTTTCTAATTGAAGCAATGTAACTAATAGCATTACCTTTCATAAAGTATTGTGACTAAGTCACATTAGTTTTGACTGGTATACTTCACATACTTAAACTTTTTTCCAAGAAAGATGAAGTTTTGCAAAGGAAAATTTCTTTTCTGAATGGAAAGGGCTGTGTATTAAGCATTGTTGAAAATCTGCCCATTTATTTAAATCTCCTAAACATGGGTTTGGGGGACGCCTAACTTTTTTCTTCCTGTACCACTGAATTCACATGTAAATCCTAACCATGTGTCTTAAGGAGAAATCTTAATTTGTAAAACAGGTCTATGTGCAGGCCCTCAGAACTATGATTTGAATATCATATAATAATAGTTCTATTGATGGCATTATGTGGTACAAGAGATGCTTGTTGACTACAAAACTTTCAATTCTTAAAAGTAAATTATAGGATGATGGAGGGTGTGGAAAAAAAACTGTCATCAGCATGCCTTCTTGGTCTTTAATTTTCCTTAAAAAAAAAACAAAACAAAATAACTTAAAAATTGCACACCACAAATATTAATTCTGGGAGTGAAAATCTATACAGGCAGTCCCCGAGTTACGTCGGATCCGCAGTTACAAACGGGGCCCTCTCTCTCCCTGGTCTCCAGCAGACCAGGGAGAGGAAGCAAAGCAGCAGAACACGCGGGCAGCGGACAGCTCCCCGTCCCCCTGGTCTGCAGACCAGGGGGACGGGGAGCTGTCCGCTGCCCGCGTGTTCTGCTGCTTTGCTTCCTCTCCCTGGTCTGCTGGAGACCAGGGAGAGAGAGGGCCCCGTTTGTAACTGCGGATCCGACGTAACTCGGGGACTGCCTGTATAGATTTTCACTCCCAGAATTAATATTTGTGGTGTGCAATTTTTAAGTTATTTTGTTTTGTTTTTTTTTAAGGAAAATTAAAGACCAAGAAGGCATGCTGATGACAGTTTTTTTTCCACACCCTCCATCATCCTATAATTTACTTTTAAGAATTGAAAGTTTTGTAGTCAACAAGCATCTCTTGTACCACATAATGCCATCAATAGAACTATTATTATATGATATTCAAATCATAGTTCTGAGGGCCTGCACATAGACCTGTTTTACAAATTAAGATTTCTCCTTAAGACACATGGTTAGGATTTACATGTGAATTCAGTGGTACAGGAAGAAAAAAGTTAGGCGTCCCCCAAACCCATGTTTAGGAGATTTAAATAAATGGGCAGATTTTCAACAATGCTTAATACACAGCCCTTTCCATTCAGAAAAGAAATTTTCCTTTGCAAAACTTCATCT